ACTGTGTGAACTGTTTATGGAGCGAGGGTTGCAGGATTTGTCCTGTAGGAGGGCACTACGACTCTTCTGTAGAAGGCATTATTATGGAGCATGGTCTCTTGAAGGAAGAATATGTAAATAGTGCTGTGGGGGTAAAGAGAGTGTCAGAAAGATTCATGAGTTTGAAGCTGGAAATTGAAGACGTGATGCTGAAGTCAGTTGGATGAAGCAGCAAACATCCGTGCAGGTGAAGGGAGCAGAGGCAATGAGGAAGTGTTGATCAGGTGTTGATTAGGTATGGTGTTAAGGAGAGAAATGCTGATGGTGTTGGATTTTGCCAAAAGGATGGAAATGACTGTGTGGTGAATCTCATGAAGAAGGAGAGATGTGTAATGTATAAGAGTGAAGCAAAGTGTAAACATGTGGAGTGCATCTTTGCAGAAGAAACAAGAGATAGTAGACTACTAAGACAGGCTCCTTGTGCCAGGGCAGAGTTAACAGATGACTGGAAAAGTCTAGCTGAAGTGCTAAGGGAAACATGCCATACCATCTGTAAACATGATAGCTCAATAAGTGTTGAATTAATTCTGTTAAAACGTTGTTGGGGTGTAGAGTGGGGTCATGTTAACGAACCATTAAAAGTTGGCTCACATCCACCGAGGTCTTCAAGGTCAACTTCAAGATTTATTGGTGGAAAACTCAAACAAAGCCTTTTAAGATTAAAAGTGCTTATAAGTGATTAAAAGTGTGGTTTGTATTGTCAACATATTGAAAGGACTGCATAAAGATTTAAGGATTTTTCTGGAAACCACACAAGGGAAGACAGAAAAATCTCCTATTAATGGTTGTGCCCCATGTTATCTGTCTGACCTGCTGCACCTTTGTGTCCTGCCTCATTCTCTCAGGCCAGTAGACCAGATGCTTTTGCTCGTTCCAAAAGTGCTGCAAAATGCAGGCCTTCTAACCAAAATAATCCAGTGTAAGCTCGGGTTTCAGTCCAGTGGCAATCTCTGAAAATAGGGAGGCAGTTCCGATATGTGAGAGGAGGCTGAAGGAAAATCATATAAGAAAGAACTCTGCTGTAGCTTTCCCACTTACTATGTTACCGTGCCACATGTGTGTGGCAACATTCAGGCATTCATCTAACACAGTAACACTTTTATTAATTACAGATTCAGAAGCTGCTCGCTGTGTGCTCACTGCTGAGAAAAAGAAGCTGAGCTCGGTTCATTTCTGCTTGTTTCATGAAAACTAAGTTACTGAGGAGCAAAGAGTGGGCTCACCGACACACTCGGCATGAAGACTGAGTGAAGAGTTTCAATACAGAGAGTTCTCTCTCGTTCTGATGACATCTCGCCTCCTAAACTCTTCTAGCAGCTATTACAGCCACCGCAGGCTGAATACAGGATTTCTTTTCCATGTTAAATTTGTGCAGCTCGCAAGAAACTTTGTGTCATAGACTTTTCAATTCACATTTGCCTGACTCATTTAAATACTCTCCACCTGAAAGTAAAACTCTTATAAATACTTCTGCTTGCAGCTTTCAGTCACCGACTCTTCAGCCTTTTCAGTGAATCCAACAGCTTTTTAATGTCAAAAGAAGACTTTGTGCTGCTGCAGACTCCTTCACATTGTAGTTCCTGCACAGTAGACATTCAGCATCATTATATTAAGGATAGACGAGTTTAATGTCATTACAATTCTCAGCGCACGGCTCCTTTCTTTTCCTAAGTCTTCAGCAGTTCTCTTTCAAGTTGACCACAAAATGTGTTACAACATTAAAGAAATTATTGCCCAGAGAAGCACAATAAGCATCTCAAAATCTTAACATCTCAAAATCACTGTAAATCAGACACAGCCGTCACAGATATTTTAGAGCTAATAATCAATCAAATATCTTTGCTTTTATGATCCCAGCCTCATTGTGTCACTGACACT